CTGACACTTGTAAACAAAAACATAAGCATCACGGGCAAGTGACCAAGCGTCACGGACAAAGGGCAAGCATCACGACCGAGTGTCCAAGCGTCACGGTACCGTGTTGCTTCAGAGGCCTGGGGAGAACACTAACAATGTGTAGGTTTGCTTTTATGTTTTACTTATGATCTCCCTTAAAATTCCCGCCCTAATTAATATTCATGATTGAATGAATAAATTAGGCCACCTCCATATAAAGACCACCTGTCTATAAAGGACAGTTTGGCTCAGTCCACTAACTGTCCTTTATAGACAGGTTTGACTGTATATCAAAGCACGTGTTTTTGATGACCCACTCTGATTCATTTCACATGAACGCCTCGTATAAACCCTATGACGATTATTTCAGAATAATTCTAAAATTCAAGATAATTTTAATAAAATAATGTTTAATAATCAACATTATCACATGAAAAACCTTGAAACCCTTCCACGGTGATCTACGTCACACAGCGTATCTAGACATTGGGGAAAAAACCTGAAATATGGTTGTACAGATGGTGAAACAATGTGACATTACTAATAATAAATTATACAGTCTAATAAAAATATAATAAATGTATAAACCACATTACCTTCAGCAGATTCACAAGATAGTTCTTCAGAAAATCTCTAAGCCTTTTATATAGTTCAAGACCAACAAACTGTGCACCTCCCATGTTTTGGCCCTTCTTAGTTTTCGCTGACGACGACCTTGACTGCTGTGATTGATGTACACTTGTACAGTAGTTGTAAACATGTCTGACAGCGAGGAAACCAGTCAAGGAAACTTACACTTGTTTATCAAATAGATCGTTTTCCATTCACTTCGAGATCCCACGTTATGCATGAAATTGAACGCAAAAACTGGACAAACAAAGGTCATAGTGTCGGAGTGACGACAAACATTGTGTGGGAATCGACAAACGCGAAAGTATTTTGGGGGGTATTTCCATGCTAAATATTGCGTTGTACACATTTGATGATAGGCAATTTTGTAGTCTTGCCTCATGTGTGTATGCGAGACTGATAAAATTATTGTTTGAGGAGTGTGTGATAAGTAAATTTGGGTTTTATGTAAACTTGATGTGCTAATGTCAATTTCGATGAAGTAAGGCTATTTAAAAGCAATATTCCCCTGTCAAAGATCGGCTTTTCATCTTTGAGCTATAAAAAAAAAGAAATTCGAGTTCAAAATCAAATCGTTTTTTTTTTTGCAGCAGACGTTTGGTGCCTGTCTTTCATGCAACTCGCGAGATCTCACAGTTGAATGGAAAATCACCTAATACTAAAGATCAAACTGCAGCACCAGATGCATAAACGAAAAGATGGCAATGTGACGTTTTTGAGACTACTTTATTGCATGCGACAGAACACACACTTTTGTAATGGTGTTATATGTCACCTGAGTGTATTGATATGTAAAAAAGCAGTGCCATTGTGTAACTGAAAATGGCGGAATAAACAAGAAGTTAAATGTGCAAGCTCTCTGGTTTATTTGATGTTTTGTGTGTTACTGAGTCAACACATCACAGGCAGCATGAATTCAGTATTTCATGCTACACCGTGAAGTATCAGTTAATTGTTTCACCACCAGACTGCTTTATTTTTTCTTCTGAAGGAAAGTGGACTATAAACGAGACTATTTTACAAGTTACCCGTATGAATTTAAGTTTACACTCGCTGTTCGTGACAGTACGTCCTTTCAAGGCAGACAATAAGATGATTAACACCTCTGTTACAATTTAAGTGGTATGTCTAAATATGGACAACAAAGTTTCACAATGATGTCAGGTAATGTCCAAATAAGGACAACAGTCTGCTGTAACAATGTCATAATGGTATGTCTAAATATGGACAACAAAGTTTAACAATGATGTCAGGTAATGTCCAAATAAGGACAACAGTCTGCTGTAACAATGTCATAATGGTATGTCTAAATATGGACAACAAAGTTTAACAATGATGTCAGGTAATGTCCAACAGTCTGCTATAACAAATGATGTCATGACATTTACAGTTTGTTCAACTATCCTAAAATGAAGCCACTTTGGAAATACATAATGCATGCAAGATATTAACAAATTATCATAGAGAATATAGATACAGTATGTTATAATATTCTGTAATATCATAACACTCAAATACAGATAATAACATGCCATAACAACTGAAGGATACGTATATAGCTCCATGAATCGTGACTTAGCCATACTCTGTCTTGTGTAGACATGCTGTATCCCTGACTTTAGGTCATCCCAGATCTGATCCAAACCTATCTGTTTCAGCCCATGGGGGTTCTGACCACCTCTCCCTGACCCTGATGACCTTGACATGATGACGACAACAAGACAGATACACGTGTCCAAAGCACAGATACAAGTTTGGATGTCAGCTTCTGCGTTTTTTTTTCTTACTCAGTTCTACAAGTAAAAAATGGATAAACCATGATTATTGTTGTTCTACCTGATTAGAGGTGCCCCCTTGCAATTTTTAGTGCCCCCCCCCATCCCCACCCCTGTGCTTACGTATTCAAACCTATGTATAGCCACCACACAATGAACATTATTAAAAGTCTCGATAAACAGGTGGTATTTATTATTTAAGTTGGATGATTTTTTTTATGGATCGCCAACACATACATTTGAAAACAGATTTGTATACACATTTCTTTGAGGTAATCAAAATCTAAAAAGCAAATTAAAAATGTTTTATAAACTTAATGCTCAAAACAAAGACAAATCTGAAAAAATATTGTCAGTCATGTAAGATCAGGGGTTTTTATAAATAGGTTGCTTGTATTTCTGGAGACTGCTAAAAAAAAAGTCACTATAGAAAGGAGTCTTTAAACAGAGATGGTCACGAACACGAGTTTGACTGTAGTATAATTATTTAGGGCATAAATTCAGGTTTGTGGCACTTGGAAGTGACATTTTTTTTTGCTTTTTATTACCCAGACAGTCTTGGCTATTGCAGCATTGTGAATAGAGGAACATACTCAAAAAACAATTTCAAAATATAGAAAACGGGTACAAACATTCTCTCTTTCAAATGCTTAGCAAGATTTAGCAAGAATGTACATAAATAATAATAAAAAAACATGGTGGAAAAAGTAATGATGGGATCACCATACTACGGTAAACACTATATTTAACTTTTTACAAAACGATAACAGGTTTAAATTTGGGACTGTTGATGCATTAGCAAAATTCTTTCTGAGTGAATTATTTAATTCTTGTTTTGCAATTACAAGTCAATAGGGTTAATAGAGTACCAGGGTAACGTTCCAAAAACTGAAATGAAATTAGGGAAGTAATGTAGTAGTTGTACTTCTCAATATAAATTTATGATTTAAACAATGCTTAGCATACATTCTGTAACCCCAGTATAATCACTGCAAGATGGTTTTTTAAAGAGGCTTACCATACAAAGTTGAAACAAAGATAAAAAGGTTTTCACAGTTTTCATGATGATAACAAATATTTATTTTTCTGCAGCGCTAGCTCAGTTTTATTTGAAACATGTTTTGTTTTTGTTTTTGGCCAGAAACATCACAAATGATTTTCATTGAAATCATACATTTTGCAATTCTGAAACTGGATTTTCGATTATTTCTAAAAAAAAATGATTGAAAAATTTGTTTTGAAACAACATATGGGACATGTTCAAAATTTCAGTGTGAATTTGCATTTTAATGCTCATGACATTGACCGAACTTGAGTTTGTGGAGTTTTTCAAACTTCAAATCATCAACAACAACACAATTTATGGAGGAACCAAGAATCAGCAATGATCTAGACAGCAAGTGTGTATGAAATTATAAACATGCCAATCATCAACAGATTTGCATGAATTTTTGAGAAGCCATTCTTTTTCCAAAATTTCACAGATTAACTGTAAACAGTGATTTATCGCTTGATGAAGGACGGACAGGGATGGGGTTTCCCTTCAAGGTGGGAATCCCCGAAACTATAAGTCAATGAATTGGTCACGATTTAGATACATAGGTCCTGTGGTGTAATGGTTAGCACTTTCGACTTTAAATCGAGAAATCCGAGTTCAAATCTCGGCAGGACCTCATTTTCACTTGTCACCAATTTTGATAATATCTATTTTTAAACATGGTTCTTGTTTCCTGAGATCCCGGCAGAACGTGGATGCACTTTTTTTTGCCTCGCAATCATATTATCGGGACCACACTGAGCTACCCCTGGTTGAATCCGACAAATAAAATCATATATGACGATGAAAATATACTATAAACATGACGAAAAGGGTGAATAACACGTTACCTCACGACGGTGAATCACCTTTTGAATTTGATGACAGCGACAATTCAACACTACCGACAATATTCTTCGAATTAAACCAATGAAGTGATTTTCAGATATATAAAATAAACTGACCTACCTGTGGGATACCTTGAAGTTTTGTGGAACGGCCCTTTGTTGATATAAAATTCCCAGGTGAACAGATCGCAATAAAATCTTTATCATTTTCTCGGGGACTAACCTTACAAAATGGCGGCTTCCATGGCAGTCAGTTGTAACAAAACTACGATTGACAAAGAAAAACTTAAACGAGATATACTCCGGGATATACAGCCGATATGTTACAACTGAAATCCGGGAAATCCGATGAACAATACAATATTTCTCATGGAAGGTACGAAAACCCAGAAAATTGTCGTTGATTTTTGTTGAATATACGACACTAAAATTCGAAGATCCCGTGCTATGCTTCTCGCGGTTGGCGAGACTTGGTGAAAATCAAACAGCGCCCCCGTGGAGAATGTTTGTAATAGTACCCATTTTAACTCGGTGCCTATTCAGAAACTTGCCAATCGAACATAAATATTGTGGAAGCTTTCTCTAACAGATATACAATCAATGACTCAAAACGAGAACATTTTCAGAAAAACTGTGAATATGTATTTTTGATAGAAGCTTTCATGAATGCTAGAAATGCTCTTGGTTTCACCAAGGTCCCATGGTGTAATGGTTAGCACTCTGGACTTTGAATCCAGCGATCCGAGTTCAAATCTCGGTGGGACCTCCACTTGTTTTTTTTTTAATTCTCACAGACGATTTGTATCTTATTGAGTTTTTATACAGATAATATATACACATATAAAGTGTATTTTTACTTTCTACATTGTTTCCTATGGCAAGAATATATCTTAATATCTCAAAATTTTGTTTAATGACATATGGTGAAAGATAATCATATAGCACATGTTTATGTACATTGAATTGACATTATTCATAATTTATGATGAAATGTGTTTGACTGTGGTATATCGAAATCGGTGCTAAATTTCCAATTTCTGCATTAGTACCGGAGAAAAATCTCAAGAAAAATAAAATAAATTTAAAAATAGTATTTTGACTCGAAATATTGTCACTGCTTTATGCTGTAATATGTGTATGTATAAAAACTGCATGAGTAGCATTCTACCTAAAGAAATGACCAATCAGTGCTCGTTTTAAAACAGGGTACTGTCTGGCCATCTGATTGGTCGGTTTTCATGGGGAGGCACATGATTAGTGTATTCGCAAGCTACTGATTAGACCAGTGTAGGTGCATTATACCGCGGCGTTCTTGGCGTAACCTAGACTGCCCAAGTCATGGCAATTGTTTTATACGATATATCCTTTAGAACGAGTTTGTAGAATCTTCTACGTTGACTCAAAATTACCACATCTGGTTTCTATTTTCAAGCAGCTTTTCATTACAGAAATTATTAATATCATCAAAGAAAGAAATTCATAAAATTTTCCAGTCAATGTCAGCTTACAAATGTTTGCACATTAAATCATGTCGGCAAATCAGACAAGTCGCGTGAGCATCAGTTTATGATACGTCGTGCTCACGTGCCACCAATAATTCAATTTGAAGGACCAAAACTCAAGCTGAAGTCGATCGATACTCCCGCTGTACTGTCTTTGCAGTATCCTCGTAATAATCTTTTCCTCCCAGAAATACATCATAGGAATGCCGAAATCTTAAACCTTCAGAACAGATTCAGCGAACTTCTTTTTATGGGGTCCGGTTAAACTACTGTAGAATACTTTATTTTCGCTTGGAATTTATTTTCGCTATTTTCGCTGAAGGGATGATTCCGTGAAAATAAAATCCAGCGAATATACTTTTTTTCCTATATTTCACATTAATCTCATCAAAAATCAGTGAAAATAAATTCCAAGCAAAACGCCCAAAAAGCCTTTTCAGCGAAAATTAATTCCAGCGAAAATAAAGTATTCCACAGTATAAACAATAGTCCTACTATACTGTCTTTGATTAAACCCTGGTGGCAGCCCTGTTTTTTTTATTATTAGAGGACGCTTAAGCGCGTAATCATTCCATATTTGGAATTTGCGTTTCCTAATATGGTAGAATGAAAATATCCAGTGTAATACCGCAACATTACGGCACGCTGTAACTTATGGCGTTACAGTGACAGATGTATAATAATAATTGTTACCGGGAATATGCTTAGATATTTCTGGCTTCCGGTTATCAGCGAAATCTGTTTAAGGGGAACTGCTCAATCCCATGGATTGCACCAAAGAATCATGGGACACTATTGTTTATGTTGTTTACAATTTTAATCTATCTTTTGTTATCCATTGTTATTTTAATCCAGAAAGTAAATTTGTTGTGAAATTAATCTTAACTGGAAGGTGCCCATTTCGGGTTATAATCATTAAGTTATTGCTACAGGCAGAAAGGATGTATATGTATAATAACAATGTTATCATGAGAATACTGCGAAGTATGTACAAGGGCATTACAGGATGGCATCATTCATGCCTACATTGCAGTATTCCCATAACATGAATAAGTCCACATTCAGGAACTTGTCTTGCATAATTTCAGACTTGCAAGACACCGACATACATTCTTACCGGGTAATAGAAGTCACACCCATTCTTTTTGAACAATCAAGAACCAAAATGTCACCATTTCCATATGTGGAGATGCTCTAACAGAAACTACATCCCCTATTTTAATAAAAGACGGCTTCTAATACAGATTTTACAGTATTCAGTAATTTTTTTGGCAATCAAGTTCAATATAAGCATATTGATTTTAAATAATGTACTAGTATTCCACTTACAGACATTCACTTGTTTAATTTTTGTCAACCAGCTTGTGAATATCAGATAACAAATTTAGCTCACTGGTCAGACCTAGCTTGTGTTCAAACATTGCCTGTGTATAACAATAGCAGTCAGGGTTTTTCCAGAAAAAAATGAGGGGGGCATACACAGGCGAGGGAGCGGAGCATACACAGGCGAGGGAGCGAATTGACCTGGAAACGTCATATCGGAAGGTTTCTGTGCCGTTTTAATGGTGTATCTATCGCCATTGAAATGTTTTTGAAGTAATTTTTAGTGTATTTGGTGTCCAAACCTCTGGCAGTGAACCATCTTTGATGAGTGACCAGTGTGTCAAACTCGGCATAGATATATATGC